GTTGTCGTTCCCTGTTTCTCTTTTAATTTTGGTTTTTGAACTATGTGGTAGTACTTTAGAGACTATCCTCTACAAGTGTAGTTGTAGAGGTTTTAGTATGACTTTAAGAATTTTAGTTAAGTTTAGTTATGGTTGCCGTTGTTACTTTATTTCTTTCTGTTTGCTTAGATTTTTGTAAAATGATGTGCGTATTTTCTGATTTATTGCATCTGTATCTGTACAATAAGTATAAGATACAAGTTAATAAATGAAATTATTGCAGAGAAAGCAGTATAGGTTTGGAATATGAGTCAGAGACTTGACACTTTGTGTCTTCGAATGCAGTCATGATATTACTTACTCTGTCTTTCGCCCTTGATCTTATCAATAAACTCCATGATTCTTTTAGCTAGTCCTAATTTAAAGCCAACTTGCATCAACTTTTCCACGTTCAACCTAAGCAAGGCTATACCATCTATTTCTTGATCACGAAAAATTTTAAAATAATGCTCCTTAAGACCTAAGTCTTGTTTGTTCAAAAAAGTGATTAACTGTTCCGTTTCTGTACATTTTTTCAGTAAGTCGATTGTAAAAATTGAAGTGTTTCTTCTGAAAGAAGTATTTGCTGAAGTAGACATAGTGACTTGTGTTTTGATAAAGTGTAGGAAATAGTTATACATTCTCCCTTTTATAGTTTATACAAACAATCAGATTGTCATACAACAGATCATGCATGCATAATTTCTGAATTTTCTCTATCAGATCATAGATCATACATATGATTCTAAATTATATAACAATACAAGTTCCATAACAATACCCCGATAACTATATTTTAGAAGAAAGTTTAATAAATCACGAATTCAGGATCATCACCCTACATGTGGAAATTTCTATTATGCAAATGAATTTTTATTAGATTCTCTTTAGGCTTTCCAGATACCACACCCGTAATCACTTTTTTAAAAATAACAAATTTGTTACAACAGCTTCAGAGAAAATACATTAGGTCAATGTTTAACAGTTGGATGCATCTATGTGACTGAAATATACACGCAAAGTAAATATGCATATTTAATATGTGGCATGAGCTAATTGACCAACTTTGGTTAGGGTAAGAAAAATGAAAAATAGCTACTTTATGCCTCAAATAAATTATGCATAACGATAAGGCGGGTACAGATAAATTTATATGTAGAATTATTATATCTTTGTTATATGAACAAATTATAATGATAAATTTTGTTATCATTATTACAGTACGAATTGCTAATTCTGATTTATTATTTGTGGCTCCTTTAGAAATTATCATATTCACATCGCTTATATATTCCATTTGCTACTTTTTTACATGTTTTGCAATATAGATGCGAATAATGGTTGCATTTGTCACAAACCTTACACCCATGCTTCTAACCTCTAAAGATATGCCACTTTTCAAAGTAATTTTTATTTATATAAATGTTATTCAGATTTTTTATTATTATTATACGTATATTAACAGAAAAAATATAATATGGCTAAAAATTTTTATTATACAAGTCTGTAATATTTATGCCCTGCCTCACATGCATAAACCTTAGCATTAGGTCAAGATCCGTACATGTTGATTGAATGCCTATCACTATATTTAACAATATTGCAGTATGTATAAACTTTATTATGAATTAAATTATATACTGTAATTATATGTATATATGATTTACTAATAAAAAATATTTATATCACGTTGGCGTCAACTTGGGGGATATGATCTGCACTAATTAAAATGCTTTATAATATTATAAATTTGTGTAGAATTGAGCTTTGAAATATAATCAGCACTATATGTTCGAATTCTCTCAATTTTTTCAATTCCTATCCCCTTAACTATTTTTTTGGTATCAGGGTCATAACTTTCTCCAAACAACTTGTAGATATTTCTAGCCTTTGCAGTTTTTTTACGCAAACTATCTCTTATAAATTCCGAAAGATTGGTTGCGACTTCGCTATATACTAACCCTCTAGCTTGTTGATCATTGTACCTACTGTTATCATTTTTTATTTCTTTAACTCTTTCTTCAAATTTTTTAACAAACAGATACTAGCATCTTATTTCTTCTTAGTAGATACGGATTACACGTTTTTCTGCTTGGTTTGCATTATAGTATAACTAGAGTAAAGTTATTGGTTTTGATTCTTTGCTCTTATTTCCTCTATTGTTATCATCAATTAGTTCACTTGGCATAGATAGTTTTTTTATTAAACCTTGTACTTTATCAGGTTCCATGGATTTTGTTTCATTTTGTAGGATAGCTTTATCACTATTTACGGATAACTTATTTACTTCTTCCATTAGATTAGAGGTTTCTTCACCTTCATCTTCCACTGCCTCTGACATATCTATGTTCTGAACTTCAGCTGATACCATTTCTTCATTATCTACAAAACAAATAGGACAAGTTTTTTGTTTATCTCTATTACTTTTTTCAAGACAGTTATAATGGAGTATATGATCACATATGAGCATGGTTAATGTTTTGGGTGGATTTAACAAAATTTCTTCATTATATTCATGACAATTCTCTAGCTCTGGTATTGTAATATTACTTGTGAGAGAGTTTAGATGACTTTTTAAGATATTTATTCCTAAAGCTTTTAATAATTCTGCTTGTTTAGGGTATTTTTTGATAAGTTCTCCTTTGTTAAGTAGTTCGTTACTCATAGTATAGGTTACAATGAGTTGGTTAATGATGAAAATTTTTCTTATCATTTCATACTTACTTGACTATATATTATTTTTTTACTACTCAGAATTATTTGATAGCTAAAAAATAAACGGATATAATATCTAAATTAATATATTTACTCGAACTTTAACCAGATAAGTCTTTGAAATTTATTATTCATTTATTCTGTTTTATAATATATTTCTGTATTGACAAACCAATTTGCAGATTTTATGAAATCTCATTTCAGATTTGGCGATCTGTTCATTCACGAATTATTTAGTATGATGAGGGATTGCTCGATCATATTTTTATTTTTGCTAATAATTGCTTAAGTAAAAAATTATATATATATTATTGTCAAAGGTAGTCACATAGTGGATAGATATATTAAAATGTTATGAAGCAAAGCTATATTTATTCTTCCAGAATTTTACAATCATCATATAAATATGTTGTTTCCATATCATAAGCTATCCACAATTTTGTATCTAATGGGTTAATACTCTTCTTTGTTTGCTTTATTCTATACATTCAATGCCTGTAACTTCAGAAGAATTGTGCAGTTCATAGTTGATCCTCTTTTCCCTCTAAAACACAGTCTTTAAATATTTTATGAGTGAGCTCTCTCTTGATAAGTGCTTTTTTAAGACTCTTTGCTTTATCATATATTTTCGTGAATTTTCACATATAACACTATAGTATTTTGTATGAACTCCAACATAGCCAATAGCACGATCTCCTCTATTTTCATCCTTCCACTTACCTATAACTTTTGTATTTTTTAAGATATATTCACCTTCATTGATTATCCACTGATCTTCTAGAAGATTTTTTACTACTCAATGATCTTCTGAATAGTCACTAAAATCAAATAAATCACAATTATTGATCATGTCTTGATAAATATTTTCAGTTTTAATTTCTATGATTAAAGAATCTGTATCTGTGTATAAAAGTCTTACTCAATCACCATACTTCTTTTTGAGATGTTTATACCAGAAGTTATATATAAAGTATTTAGAAAGATCAAGAATACATGCTCCAATATATTCTGGCTTATTTAGTTTTATATTGGTTTATCTTCAATGTACTGCTACCAAATTTGCTCTATAGAAAATTTTCCTACTAACAAATGCTAAATCTGATATTAATCTATGTAACCTCCATTCTTCACCTACCTGTCTAACTAAATCTATATTCACTCATTTTCTTACATCTTCCATAGTTTTTCTAAATACTGAGTTATTCATTAATTTCTAGAAATTTTTTTCAAAGGCATTCTTTGCTTTTGCACATTGTTGAATATTCATTGTAATATATAGTTCCAACTATGATGATTGTTCGAAACCTAGAATTCGATATACTTTTTCAAGAACATATCCTTTCTTTATACATTGTTGTAGATTTCTATAATGAATAACATAATAGTCCTTATCATAGAGAGTTAGTATAAGTTTTTCTGTATCTGAATATTGTTTACTTGCTTATTCTTTTTGTTTTGAACTATACCAATTATATAGTACATTCTTTTATTCTGAACACATTGAATAGTCTCAAAATTTGAGATGTAATTCTTTTGGAATCGATAACTTAACTTCCAAACAATATTTTCAATTTGAATTTTCTTTTATTTTTAAAATTTCTTGCACTAAAGAGTGGGATGCTTCTAAAGGTTTTGTTAATAGCTATTTAAATCCTCTAGTTAGTAAATATTGAGACATTCCCTAGTCATAAAGATTATTAGCATCTAAATATAACAGCTATTTTTTTGCTTTTTTTCCATCATACCCTTTTAATTTAGGAATATTTGCTCTAGCTATATGTCTTCTAGCTAAGGACATTCCTCCTCTTTTTATTGCAGTAAAGAAGTCATGCATATCTCCTTAATGCTCGTTAAATAATTCTAATTTTACCTTTGTTACCTTCATACACGCATCCTATGCAAGACCTAGTGCAGTTAAATAATTTGCTGGATCTAATTTGAATACTGAATAAGATACTTTTTAAAATGCCTCGAATGCATCTGCTAATATAAGAACATCTGTTTTGAGATAAATATCATAATAATCACCAAAGGTTTTACAAGTAGTTTCTTTTTAAATTGTATGAGCAAAATCATAGTCTTTTTGAGTTATTATATAAATTTTCTCATATTCACATTCTTTGCTTTCACATTCTTGCTTGCAATAATTTACTCTATTCAAATCACTATTAAAATCTTTTCAAAGAGGTAGTTGCATTTCTTTGAATTTGTTTTTACTAGTTAACTACTAATATAGGAATATTCCTTTATATGTAAGCAATGATAATAAATGAGGTGAGATAAATTTTGACATAATTAGAAAACATTTTACTAATTGTTCTGGTGTTTTAGTTTGGCCCTTCTTTTCATCATGTAAGTTTTTTACTATCTTAGCTAAACCTGATAATGAAAATTTCAAACTATCAATAAATTGAAGTTGATCAACTGAGAAAGTAATATATTGTTCTGAATTATTTGCTATTAGCACTATTTTTTTATCTGTCTCTTTTGCTATTTCTTGCATAAGATGATGGAAATTATAACCACTTCTATTACAAATTAGTATAGAGATTTTTATTGTTTCTGAATCAATTCGTAATTTTAAATTATATCCACTATGAGCTAGTCCTCTAAACTTTCCTGTAATATAGTCATAATCTATTACTCTATTTTTTTCCTTGTCTGGTAAATGCGTTTTGCAATACAAACATACCTTACAAGATTTATATTTTTCTTTTTGCTCATTATCTAACTTATCTTGAATCATTAATTTTTTCCTGTGACATTTTCTATGCGAAGCACCCAAATATTTTTTGGTTTCAGGATCGAATACATGAATTTTATAATATTCAGCTTCATGTAATTTTTCTTCACATATCTAACATTTGTTTGCAGTTTGATATTT